CCCCCCCCATTTTTTTTTTTTTTTTTTTTTTTAGCCCATGATTATGCCAACTGTACTAAGCAAGCAGTTCTAGTGTTTCCTACAAAACACAACTAGATGCCCATAATAAGCAGCCAATACATCTTCGTGCCGTGGATCCAAATCCAGGATCCTTTTTCAGGTTCGCTTTTTAAAATTCCTCACGTAACAAATGAGGAGACAAATGTTTCAAAGATTGAGTGACTCCTGGTTAGTGACAGAACAGGGGACTGGAAACTGTGCTTGTGCAGTCTCTGAGAGATAATTTTTTTTTTTTTTTTTTGGAAGAGTCTGGGTCAGACTGATTTTTACCTCACCCCTACATTCCATTTCTGGAACTCTGATCTGTTCTCATTTTCTGCCACTTTCTGCTAAGGTGCCCAGGACACACACAGGCGAAAACAACACACACACACACACACACACACACACACACACACACACACGCACACCACAGTATTTCACAATGAGAAGATCTATGTGGAGGTATGTTTCAGTGTACTGTGGCTGGTATGCTAATGCCATAGGCTTCAGGGCCTAAATAATAGAAATTATATCTCAGAGTTCTGGAGGCTAAGAAGTCCAGGGTCAAGCAAGACACTTGCAGATGCCGTGTCTGGAAAGTCTGTTCCCTGGTTTGCAGACTAGCTTTTCCTATCCCCACACAATAGATGGGGAGTATCTTTTTTGAAGGGTATTAGTCTAAGTTATGAAGGCTCTACTTCATGACCTAATCACTCCAACCCTCCAGGGCCCTATCTCTGAATACCATCATACTGGGGATTAAGGTTCAATATAGGAATCTTGAGGGGACATATCACTCAGTCCACAGTAATCCACATCCTACCATCTATTTCACTGTGTTTGAAGAAACTCAAATAAGCATTCCAGGATGTTCATCTTTTTTGTTATTTTATTTTATGTTTTCATATATTGAGATGAAAAGATAGATAGATAGATAGATAGATAGATAGATAGATAGATAGATAACCTCACTATGTGGCCAGCCTGGAACTCTGACTCATAGAGATCTGCCTGTCTTTGCCTCCTGAGTTCTGGGACTAAAGGTGTACACCACCACACTTGGCTATTTTTTAATTTTAATTATCTGTATATGAGTGTGACTGCTTATGGAGTCCAGAAGAAGGTGTTGAATCATTTGGAGCTAAAGTTATAGGTGGTTATGAGCCACTTGAGAGGGTGCTGGGAATGGAATTCAGGTCCTCTGCAAAAGCAATATGTACTCTTAATTGCTGAGCCATCTTTCTCTAACCTCGAAGTCTTGCTTTTGACTAGGAAAAGTGCTATGGTGGTTTAACTAAAAATGTCCCCCATAGGCCCATAGGAAGTGGCACTATTACAAGGTATGGCCTTGTTGGAGGAAGTGTGTCACCGGGGACAGCCTTTGAGATCTCAGATGCTCAAGCCATACCCAGTGTGGCATTCTCTTCCTGCTGCCTACAGATCTAGATATAAAACTCTCAGCTCCTTCTCCAGCACCATTTCTGCCTGTATGCCACCATGCTTCCTACCCTGATGATAGAAAGAAGACAAGCTGTGTTACCTGTCCTTGCTGACCCCCAGACTGTCTTCAGACATGTTGAAAGTGGAAGGGCAGGACTCATTCCTAAAACCTTAGCTACATGCAGTAGCAGCTGCATCTAGGAACATGGTAGAAAGAAAGCTCAAAGTGTATTTGCAAAAAGACTTAAAAATTGGTTAGATCCTTAGAAACTTTTCCTTCCCCCAGCCACTGGTCCCTCTCCTGGGACACACCTGAGCTTCAGTTTGGAAAAGGTCAAAGGGAGAGGAGGCATGAATGTGGGGATTCCTCTGAAGCAGGCTGACACTGGATGCTGGATGAAGAGCCCCACTCCAGCTCTCTGCTCCAGCAAGCTCCTAAAGTCTGACCCTTATACTCCTAGTCGTAGAGATGCTGACCATTCCAAAAGGAAAATCCTGAAGTCATTGATATTCCAGGAATAGAGAACCTAAATTAACAAACTGTCACCCACAGATATTCCTTCCTTCCTTCCTTCCTTCCTTCCTTCCTTCCTTCCTTCCTTCCTTCCTTCCTTCCTTCCTTCCTCCCTTCCTTTCTTTCCTTCTTTCTCTGTCTTGTTTTTTTTTTAAATGGGATTTCTCTGTGTAACATTCCTGGCTATTCTGGAACTTACTCTGTAGACCAGGCTGGCCTTGAACTCACAAGATCCACCCTCCTCTGCTTCCTGAGTGCTGGGATTAAAGTTCTGTGCCATCACTTAAATGGGATTTCTCTGTGTAACACTCCTGGCTATTCTGGAACTTACTCTGTAGACCAGGCTGGCCTTGAACTCACAGAGACCTGCCTGCCTCTGCTTCCTGAGTGCTGGGATTAAAGGCATGTGCCACCACTATCCAGTCTTGTTCATTTCTTTTGAGAGAAGACATCCAAGGATTCCTGGGCATCCGAAGAAAGCCTGTTATGAACAGAAAAGAAAGCCAACATACAGAATTTAGAAACTGAGGAGAGAAGAAAATAGTTGTCTTTAAAAATTAACTTTTTGGCCAGTGAGATGGCTCAGTGGATAAGGATGCTTGCTACTAAGCCATGAAATCTGAGTTTGGTCCCTGGATCCCACATGATGGGAGAAGAGAACCAACTTTTGCAGGCTCTCCACAGACCTCACATACAAAATAAGTATATGGGGGCTGGAGAGATGGCTCAGAGGTTAAGAGCACTAGCTACTCTTCCAGAGGTCCTGAGTTCAATTCCCAGCATCCACATGGTAGCTCACAACAATCTGTAGTGAAATCTTTACCCTCTTCTGGCGTGCAGGCACACATGCAGGCAGAACACTGTATACATAATAAATAAGTAAATCTTTTAAAAATATATATGTAAAACATTTAAAAAGGAAAATTATCATTGACCTCTTCAGGAGGTAAGACAGTGTGCTTATAAGACAGAAATGGGCAATGATATAATCGTATATAGGGAAAAAATAGCAAAGCAGAACTGAAACACTCAGTGAAGTCCAGAAGAAACCACTGTCTCAGAGGTGGGGGTGGAGTGAGGGACATCAAACAAATAAAACATAAGAACTAAAGCAAGACCAGGGAGTGAGGGATCAGCACAGGAAGTCCAGGGCCCTGAGTGACAGGTGTTCCAGAAAGAGAAGTGAGGAAACAGAGGGCAGGAAACCGTCGGGGGGGGGGTTCAATTCTGACAAGTAACAACCAGGCCTTTCCACAATGACAGGGGCTGTTGAAACTCAGGCCTGGTGGTGCACAGCAGTAGCCTCAGCACTTGAGAGATCAGGACGGAGGACCATGAGTTCAAGGCCTGCCTGGATTACACAGGAGACTCCAAAATAAAGATTAAAAGATGAGGCAGGCAGTGGTGACACATGCCTTTAATCCCAGCACTCAGGATCCACTCAGGCAGATCTCCGTGAGTTTGAGGCCAGCCTGATCTACAGAGTGAGTTCCAGGACAGCCAACGCTACACAGAAAAACCCTGTCTTGAAAAACCAAAAAAACAAAAACAAACAAAAAAACCAAAATCAAACAAACCAAGAATTAAAAAAAAAATGGGGGCTGGAGAGATGGCTCAGAGGTTAAGAGCACTGGATGCTTTTTCAGAGGACCTGGGTTCAATTCAACCATCTGTTAACTCCAGTTCCAGGGTGTCCAATGCCCTCTTCTGGCCTCTGTCGGCACCAGGCATGACATGGTGAACAAACATGCATGCAGCAAGATACCCATACATGTAAAAATTTAAAAAGCACTTGGGAGGCAGAAGCAGGTAGATCTCTGTGAGTTTGAGCTCCAGGACAGCCAAGGCTACACAGAGAAAGCCTATCTTGAAAATCCAAAAAGTAAATAAATAAATAAAACAAAAATAAGAAAGAGCAGGCCCTTTGGGTGATGGCTCAATGTGCTAAGTTTAAACTCACATAAAAGGTTGTGTTTTCAAAATTTCAAAACTTTGCAGCCCAAACTTAAGCTTTTCCATAAAGAACCAGATAGATTGCATCCAAAGCCTATAGCAACAAGGTGGCATCAACAGCCAAGCAGACCAGCAACCTGTACAATTGCTTGCTTGTATCACAGCCACTTGACCACAACATACCTTCAGGGTTCTGAAGGACAGCGGCCTACTTAGCGAGGCATCAGTCCACCACGGGGAGGACAGATTTATATGGTCACCTTGCAAGCACACCAGAAGAGGTCTAGGAGGTCTGGCTCAACCCAGACAAAGTGGGACCACTCAGGGGGAAGATGCTTTGGTTCCTTTTCTGTTGCTATCACCGAATGCCACACACTGCGTCATTTATATAGAGTAGAAGTTTATTCCACTTACAGTCCTCTGGTTGGAAAGTACAAGATCAGAGGCTCTGTGTGACAAGGGCCTCCTTGCTGGTGGGGACTCTCTGCAGACTCCAAGGGATGCAGGGCATCATCTGGCAAGAGGGGCCATATCCAAGAACCAGCACCAGCTGGCTTAGATAACAGACCCACACTTGGGATAATGATCTATTCCTGTGCCAATCACTACTGGATGGGGCCACACAGAGAGTCCTTGGAACTTAATCCCCTATTCAAGGCCCACCTGGTCCCACCTTTTGATTCTTCACCAGGGGGATTTAACTTTCACAAGAGATTTCCCCCAGGGGACATTCATTCCTTGGCAAACACACAGTAGGACATGAAACCCACCTAGGAGGGAGATAAGGGTATCCCAGAGGGGCACAGAGAGACTGAAAGGTGACGGGCATGCCCGAGGCATGCACAGTCAAAGCCACAGGGATTGGCAAGAGAACAGGGGTGTGCTGAGAGATGTCACAACCACCCCTTCTGTTGTGCTGCTGTTTAAGAACAAGAGGCCAAGGACTGGGATGGTGTCTTAGTGGGTCACATGCTCACCTTGTAACCACCTGGATCTGAGATTCATTCCCAGAACCTGTGTTTAAAACGCTGGTGCACAGTTATAAGCCCAGGGCCCCGAAGGTTGAAACAGGCGGATCCCTGTGGGGCTCGTTGGCCAGCCAGCCTTCTCTAATTGACTCACAGGAAGAGGGTGAGGGCTGCCAGCGAGTGGGTGTGGCCAGGCATAGTGCCTAGGGCTTTATTACCACAAGGGGCAGAAAGTGGTTTGTTTTCTTTTGTTTTGGATGGTGCTAAGGATTGAACTCAGGGGCCAGTGCGTGCAAAGAAAGCACTCCACCACGGAACTATATCCCCAGTCCCTCATTAAAAAAAAAAAAATCAGAATAAGGTGATAGGTAGAATTCAGCCAGGCACAGTCGAAAAAGAATAAATCATAATAAGCAGCCCAGACTGGCTAATAGCTCACTGTCATCCTCTTGTCTCAGCCTCAGGTGGTGGGATTACAAACACGTGCCTCCACATCCTGACATTGCAGAACAATGGCCTGCTGGCGACTCCCAGAGCAGGAATCTCTCCCCTCTGTGTCCAGGCCCTCCATGGGGTGAGAAAAAGAGAGGGATGCCTGGCAGAGGGCGGGTATGGGAAGCTAGGGTGCCTCCGGGTGTGGCGCGGGGACGGGAGGGGCGGGGCGGGGAGGGGCGGGGTCAGCGGCCACCACCTCTGTGCACAGTGTCCTTCGCGGAGCTGCCAGCAACTGCGTGAGTGGGGCTACGGATGGGTGAGACCCCGACAGCGGGGAGACAAAAGGGAAACTGAGGCCGGCACCGAGCGGGAGGAACTCCTCTTGAGAGAGTGTACAGCTCAGGGTGGTTGGCACCCTGGGGACAGCGACCAAGGTCCTGCACCTCGGTGGGGACCTGGTAGATTGCTGCTGGCGGCATCTGGGCGCAGAAGGGAGGGGGCCTCTCGCTGCTGGCAATCCTGCCTCCCTTGCAAGGGAACACTGGGATCCGTGGGAAACGGAAGTTGTGTAAAGGTTCACACTAGCAGTGTGTGGAAGTCAGGACTTGCGCTCCGGCTTTCTGATGCCAAAGCCTGCTTCCCCTACACACGGTGTGGCCGCCTCTCCTGCGCAGTGAAGTGAGCACTCAGGCACTGCGTTTGCACATCTGTGCCTGGCCATGACTGGACTGAGACGCGCTGGGGTTCAGAAACTCCTGACAGTGGGTTCCTGAGGGATGGGACCGACAGACAGCAGGATTGCTTTTTACTTTGTCCTTCAGTTTTTTCCTGATCGGACTTTTCAGCTTCTTCTGTTCGCGGTCCCCTTGTTAGGAGTTGTGCAAGCGGCGCCTGAAAGCCTGCTTTGTTTGAAAAAGTTGCCACTCGGCAACGCCATTTCCCCATACCCTAGGCCTCAAGATGACCAGTTCCTGCCGGTCCTAACCGACCTGTTGCTGGCACTGTGGTTACTTTCAGAACGAGAAAGGCTGGTAAAAGATATAACGAGGATTTCCAGGCTCATTAAGAATAAAAAGCCCTAAAACTCCTCGGGACAGCAGTGGATGGCTGGAAGGAAAGCTCAAGGATGGGGAGGAGCTTCAGGCAGTGGAAGGAAGAACGCTGGCTCCCTTCTGTTTCTGGGTCATAGTCTCTAGGGAGGCCCCAGAGCAACAGGTGCCCCAGCTTCACAGACTGGGACACTGAGTAGAAGAAGGTCTGGGGTTGACTAGCCAGGAGTGAAACACTCTGGAGGCTGCTGACTCCAGCCTCGGTGCGGGAGGGCTCAGGCATCCTCTCTGGTTGTCCTATGAAGAGATGGGGCGGGAGGCTCCATGGAATGATGGCACCAAGGATGGAGAGGGTGGTGCTGCTGGCCTGAAACCTTTCTGACACTGGGAAAAGAGTAGTGTCAGTCTGTGGGCCTGATTCTTGCCCAGGGTGCTATATCCCAAGCAGTGCTATTCTAGAGTGGCTGTGTGTCATTGTGACCTTTAGAGACACAGACCTGGAATGGTCTACAATGTCTTGGGCCTCAGTTTCTTCACCTGGAAAGTGGCACTAGCAATATGCCCCCATTGGGTACTGAGCAGATTGTGTGGATCAGAGAGAGGTGGCTGACCCCTGCTTTGTGGCCACTGTGAGGAATACAGAGAACTTTGACAGGATGAAGGAAAAGCCCTGGGCCACTGAACAGTGAGTGATGCCTTGGTTTCTTCCCAGGAGTCCTGGAGTAGCAAAAGTGGAGAAGGCTTACAACCATGGTCTGCTCTCTATTTCCATCCTCTGTCCAAGATTCTCTAGAAGTGGAGAGGTGGCTACCTCTTCCCCTAGAGGAAGCATTGAGTGGTCCCCATACAGATAACCACAGTGGAGTTTTCTGGGGAAATCTAGGTGTCGCATCTTCCTTCCTGGATCATCCCAAGGTTCCCTGGCAAGCTGGTGGTGGCAGGGTGAAGCTTTGGATGTTATGTGCCTTCTGAAAGAGACTGAAATAAAGGGTTGAGCTTTGCCACTCTGAGTATTCCTGCCCTGGTCCTCTATACCCTCCAGGACTCCAGGACTCCACCCTGGGCTGATCTCCTACCCAGCTCAGCCTAGCCCAGGGTGACTCAGCTTTATGGGCTCCACCCCTGTCTGTCACCCCTCCAGGAGGGTGATTCAGAAACTGGGCAGTCTCCAAGGTCCTTGGCCCAACTTTCTCCTGCAGTCTCAAGTGGGGTGGGCGACTGCACTGTTTTGTGACCTTGGATGAGAATAGGGGTGCTTGGATGAGAATACTCATGCTGATCTCAGTGCAGCAGAGTATAAACACAGCCTGGCATTTTGGGGACAGTTAGAGGGTGGCAGCAGGATACTGGGGTTCAGTGTTCTGTCCCCAGATCCTGTCCTCATGGTATGTCCTTGAGATAGACACCACCCTTTATATATAAATGGAAGACTTGACTGACTCTGAAACCCATCAATAGAGACATTGGTCAATCCTGTTAGGCTGTTTGGGGACTTCCTGGGCATAGAGTATGGGCCTGTTGTTGTTGCCCACCCCCCACTCCTGCCCCTGCACGAGAGGCTCTGTCACAGGAGCACTTTTGCCTGCAGAGACTGCAGAGAGGGAAGGAGGGAAGAGGTGCTGCTGCAGGGATGGATGGGTGGGGGGTTAAGGCTGGCATCCTCTAAGGCGGAGTTATCAGGAAGGAAGGCAGCTACACAGGCTCTGACCTGGTAGAGAATGTTCATAGAAGGTACTGGGGATCTGGAGGGGTGGTGGTTCCTGGTTGCGGGGATGGGCAGGGATGGCTTGGAGCAAGGAAAGACTGCCAGCAGGCATTGGTTTCTTTGTGGGAGATGGACATTCTTGGAACTTGGTGTTGGCCAGGCAGATTGTCTGTTTAAATTTGGGGAGTTTCACCTCAGCTAATGAAACTTGCTGCTACTGGTGGTGGTGGTGGTACTTGCCTGTAATCTAAACCCTTGGGAAGTTAAGGCAGAAGGACTACTATCAGGTTGAGGGTAGTCTGGGCTACTTAGTGAGTATCTTTGTAAGCCCAAAGAGAGGCTCTGGCTTGGATCCCTGGCATTTAAAAACAAATGAACAAATGAAAGTCCTCTGAAGCTTGATGTAGGGACTGTTTGAGACTCCCCTGTTGTTGGGCACAGTATTAGTTACTTTTCTGTTGCTGTGATAAAACACCATCGCCAAGGCAAGTTATTTGGCTTATAAGAGAGATAAGAGTCCATCCTGGTGGGGAGGCATGGTAGCAGTCAGGCGTTGTAGAAGGAGCAGGAAGCTGAGGGCTCACATCTTTGAACAAAAGCATGGGGCAGAGAAAGCACATGGAAGTAGGAGAGGCTTTTGGTGATGTACTTCCTCCAGCAAGGCCACATCTCCTAAGCCTCCCCAAACAGCACCATCAACCAAAAGCCAAATATTCAAATATCTAAGCCTATGGGGGATGTTCTTATTTAAACCACTGCAGGCTACCTGCCACTGAGCTGTATCTCCAGCCCATAGGATATGTATGTGAGAAGTTGTCCCCCTGTGTGTGTGTGTGTGTGTGTGTGTGTGTGTGTGATGCACGTTTGTGTATGGGAGTGAGGCCAGAGGTTGACATTGTCTTCCTCAATAGCTGTACACTTGATTTGCTGAGGTACAATCTTTTGCTGAACACAGAGGTTGCCAATTCCAGCTAGTCTGGTTGCCTTGTTCTGGGAATTCCATTTCTACCTCCACAGCGCTGGGATTATGTGTGGATCACCATACCCACCCAGCATTCATATGGGTATTGGGATCCAAACTCCACTTTTCACACTCTGTACAGCACATGCTTGACCAACTGAACCACTTTCCCAGCATAGTTTGTCTAATGCAAGCAGACACCCCCTGATTCTCCAGCTACTGTCAGTGTTGACTGCTCTTGGGAACCATTTTTTGATGGGGAAACTGAGTCCGAGTCAGGGTACTGACCGCTTAGTACTACCTTAGCAAGCAGAGGCAGAGGGGGCCCTGGACTTCCACACTAGGGCCCCCCATTCTCTAGCTCACAGGGTCTTGACTCTAGCCCAGAAATTGGCTGCAGAGGGCCTGAGACCAGCTGTAAGACATGGACCCAGCCTTAAATGTTTTCTTGTGTGTCCATGTGAGTGTAGCTTTGTGAACAAGACAGAGCCTGGTCTAGAGTGTTGGGGACATCTCTGGGCCAGGGTATGAATGTGGAGTATGGACTCTGAGATCCTGTGGCCCATCAGGAATAGGTGGGCTGGTTGATTCTGAGGGACAGGACTTCAGAGATGCTGAAGGCAATTCTGGGCTGCTTCCCATGGTTCTTTAGAACTTCTCTCACCTGCCCTGTTGTGTTCTCTTTCAGATCTTAACAGAACATCAGTTGCAGTAGCTATGGCTCCATCCTGGGTGCCCGCTGTGGGCCTCACTCTGGCACCCAGCCTGGGGGGCTTCATGGGCGCCTACTTTGTGCGCGGTGAGGGCCTCCGCTGGTATGCTAGCCTGCAGAAACCCTCCTGGCATCCACCTCGCTGGACACTGGCTCCTATCTGGGGCACGCTTTATTCAGCCATGGGGTAGGTGGTTGCAGGTGCCACTTTGCAGTGTCCTGTTCCCCATGGAATCAAGCTAGGTATTGGGCACCCGAGCAGAGGGAGGCCCCAGGACAGAACAGCATCATTTCCCTCTTGGGAAAGGGAGGTTGGCGAGGCTGCCAACCCATGCATTGCAAGATTGAACTTTTTCCTGCTTGCCTCTGGGAACCCTGCCTGGTTTCACACTACTGAGGCTTCCCCATGTATAAAGGTTACTGTGGACAACAGCAACATGTGACTAGACAAACAGGTGGCAGCCACATCATTTTGTTTGTCTGTACAACACCAGAGCCTGGTGTGGTTCATTCCCAGAAGTCCTCTGCAGTCATTGCCTCAAGGCCCCAAGAGCCTGCATGACTAAGCTGCTACTTGCTTGTCCCTTACCTTCATCCTTCATCCTGTAACCACACACTGACTCAGGGTCTCAATTCAAATCTCCATAGCAATCTTAATCTCCATAGCAATCTTAGAAGAAACCAAGGTCCAGAGAGGGCAAGCAGCTTCTCTGAATCATATAGAAGTCAGTGGCAGGGCATACCTGAGCCGTCACTGAGTGGTCTTGGGAGGGTAGCACTCTTGCCCTGTGATGTCCTGACCCATTGTCTGTTTCAGTTATGGCTCCTACATGGTCTGGAAAGAGCTGGGAGGCTTCACAGAAGAGGCTGTGGTCCCTTTGGGTCTCTACACTGGTCAGCTGGCTCTGAACTGGGCATGGCCCCCCATCTTCTTTGGTGCCCGGCAGATGGGCTGGGTAAGTATGGCCAAAGCTTGATCCTTGGGTCATTGGTGATTGCTCTGGGAGAGCAGGTGAAATTGAATCCCAGGTGAGGGGGAGGCCTGTGGTTTGTAGCCCCTTTAGAAGTTCCATGAGGGCCGGGCGGTGGTGGCACATGCCTTTAATCCCAGCACTCGGGAGGCAGAGGCAGGTGGATCTCTGTGAGTTTGAGACCAGCCTGGTCTACAAGAGCTAGTTCCAGGATAGCTTCCAAAGCCAAAGAGAAACCCTGCCTCAACCCCCCCCCCCACCACCCCCAAAAAGAAGTTTCATGAGTCAGGTACAGTGGGGTTCCTGGAATCCCAGCTCTCTGGAGGTTGAGGTGGGAGGATCAGTTGAGCCCAGGATAGGGCTAGGCCAGCCTAGGTGACAGTGACCTGTGTACTAACACAGCCTCAGTCCACCTTCCCTCCATGAAGAAGGTTCAGAGGGCCAGGTTGAAGTGGGTGGGGCTGTGATCTTGGGTATAGAAGCCATGACATGAGACACCAGCATTACATCTGGTGCTGTGCGTGCTGACACATGGGGACAAAACCACTCCTTATAAATGTTCTTGTTCAGGTTTTGTGATACATGCCTGGCCTGTAGTTCCAGGAGAGGCAAGAGGATTGCTTTAAGTCTGACAGCCTGGTTTACAAAGCTAGTTCAAAGTCAGCTAAGACCACATAGTGTGCACACCACAGCAGCTTGATCCCTCACACTGGCCTCTTGGGTCAGTACTTGACAATGTTGTATCTTCAGGTCAGAGGCCTTCCAGCTGCTGCTTTACTCTTCAGCATGCTGTGTCCCCTTGGGACTGTCTCCATACATGGCACAATCAGGCAGTGTCTTACAGGCAAGGAAACTGAGGCTGAAAACAGAGAGAAGGGGCAGCCATCACACCTCAGGGGTACAGTAGGGCTAATTGAGATCTCCAACTTCTAGACCCAGCAGGGACTTAGCCTCCCCATCTCCTGTCTCTGCAGGCCTTGGCAGACCTTCTGCTCGTCAGTGGGGTAGCAACAGCCACAACCCTAGCCTGGCACCGAGTGAGTCCACCAGCTGCCCGCCTGCTCTACCCTTACCTGGCCTGGCTGGCCTTTGCGACCATGCTAAACTACTATGTATGGCGTGATAACCCTGGCCATCGAGGTGGCTCACGGTTCCCAGAGTGAGCGCACCCTGTCCATCAGGACCACAGCACTGCCAGCCAAGCACCATGGATGGTGGGCATCATGCTTTCATGACCACTGGGCCCGCTGGTCTACCTGGGTCTTGAAGGCCCAGGGAGCCACCAGACAGGTCAAGGTGGTCAGTGCCAAGTCCCATCCAGGGACACTTGTACCTGCCTTTCTGCACTGCTCCAGGCATGCCCTAAGAACATGGGGCTTTTAAAGCTAAATAAAGTCTTTAACTTCATGTGTAGTAGACTGTGTACATTGTGGGGCAGCTGGTCTGAGGGACAGCAGAGGCTATGGCCATGCAGCATGGCTCTCCTGCTGAGGCTGGGCCTGTCTGGGCTGTATCAACCAGCTTCTACACCTATGGTGTGGCTCACAAACCCCAACTGGCAGAAGAGGATGTTAAGTTCTAGGACCAGCAGCTGTCACCTACCCATACCCAGGGTTCCATTTGGGTGACCTATAATCTCCTTAGACAGCATTTGGGAGACAGGACAAGGTGCCTTTCATGCAGGCAGTACCTCAGCCTCCATCCTGCTTCCATGTCTCATGGATATATATGGTCCCTGCAGGGCACCCATGCCAGACACTTTTAGGAACAATGCACCTGAGACTTGGAGGGGCTCCTCCTTGGCAGCGCTTTCACTGTCATACATACAGGTCATCCAGCCCCAGCAGTGCTCCATAGCATGGTACCTGCCAGCTACAAAGCAATTCTGCTCAAATGGGGTCATCTGCCATCTACATATGTGCTTCCCCTGTACACCACGAGAGGCACCCGCTCTTCTATGACGTCATCAGCTGTTGCCACAGTAGCTTTCTGCTGCCTTTAATGAGAAGGACACACTGTATCTGCTGGTTTAAATCACTCTGGTCTGTGTTTCTTCCTGCAATAGAGGCCTCAAACCTTCATGCTTATGTCTCCAGCCACCTGACTACAAAGGGGCTGGGTGGCCACTTATCAGCAGGGAAGCCATGCTGATGTAGGATAAGAGAAGGTTGGTAGACTTCGGTTTGTGGTCAGCAATTGGCATCTCCCTGGAGCCTGAGTGGGGCCTCCAGAGTTCCTGCTTCCTTCATCTGCAGCACTGCTATGGCTGCCTGGATTCTCCAGCCAACTCCACATGCCCAAGGTGGGCATGTATTGTTTTCGATGACCCTTTAAACAGAGAAAGTGGTCAGGGTGTGGATGTCTCTGGCTGATGGCCAAGCCTGAGTGTCGCTGTGCCAACTGGAGCATGTGGGGGGGGGGAGAGAGAACCCAACTGCTTTGGAAAATTTTTAAATTATATTTTTGTGTGTACATACACATACACCTACTCACATGTACCATGGTGTACACCTGGAGGTCAGAAAACAATCCATGGGAGTTGGTTCTTTCCACCATTAGGTCCTAGAGAGGTCTTCAGGTTTGGCAGCAGGTACCTTTACCTGATGAGTGCCATCCCTGTAAGATTGCAGAACAAATGTCCTGGCATCTCAAACATTCATCCTTAAGAGCAGATGATGCCTTGTAGGGTAGCTGCTCAGCAGCAGTGTGGCCTTGGATCTGGGCTCAGTCTTACCCCTGGGACAGCTCTGCCTTACGTGTTTTAACATGGTGCCACTCAGTAGGGCCTGTGTCCTTCACTACTCCCATACCTCTGTGACCACTGTGAGTTTGGGCCTCTCATTCCCATCCCAGAACAAGTAGACAACACAGAGAAAATGCCATTTCCCAAGACCACCAGTTGGGGCCAAGCCTCAGGGCCAATGAACCCCAAAGCCCCCAAGGATTGGAAGTGTAGACAGCACAGGTCACAGCTTTCCTACAGCTTGCAACTGGGACTGTCAACTAGGAAGTCAAATTGGGTTAGGGAGCTTGGAGGTCTACTGGCTTTCTTTGTCTTCTCTCATTTCTCAAAAGCATACATGGTGACATGTTGGGTTCTGCCCACACAGTGGAGGAATACACCAGTCATGCCAGCCCAGGTCTGTGCCTCTAAGCGCCCCAAAGAGAAAAGACCAGGTGAAAAGGAGGCATATTTTATTGCAGTATAAAAGGGCAAGGAGGACAGCAGCTCTCCAGAGACAAAAACCACAAGTGTCTGTCCTATCCCTGGCAGTGGCTGGACCCAACATGGATGGGTTAGGCTCACTAGTAGGTGACCTACATGCCCAGAGATGGGCAGGAAGAACCATGTCCAGTTATGCTAGGAGGGTCACTTTTACCTTCAAAAGTGCAACAGCCACCACACTGCTCCACCCTCCTGAGTAGCAGATCACCCTAGAAGCAGCTCTCATCCACTCTAACCAGATCCACTTACTGGTGGACTGGACCCAGACAGTTACAGAGACAATGACAACCGACTTCAAATTCCAGCATTTTACATTTTTTTCTGTAACACACACACACACACACACACACACACACACACCCTACCTACCTCTCAACATTTTGACTCTAGGCCTTGGCAAGAGGCAGCCTGACCTCCACATGAAGTTCTCCCCAGAGCCATGTTAGCAGCCTTGGCATTTCCATTGTCACCTCCTCCTGGACTCTGCCAGGGAACCTCACAACACCAGAGTCCCTTGACCAACTCAAGAGGACAGTGGAACTCAGTGAGATGCCAGCATGCAGAGCAGAGACCATGGGTCTCTAACAGTCCAGCTTCCCAGAAGGGAAACATCCAGGGCAGCATGGCTGGGAAGTTTGCTGGTGAAGGCTCTGGTGGAGGATGCCTAGGTATAAGGCTGGGTTGGCAAATGTTTTTCCCTGGCTGTTCTGGGGCCTGGAGTACAACACAGGGTGCTGATACCCTGCTTACACCAGTCATGGGAAAGGAGGACAGAGACTCTGGGAGAGAACTCCCTGGTCCTGCTGGATACAGGGTTCCCAAACACTCCCCTGGGGAACTCTGTTTCTGTGGAACACCTCTTCCTCTGTACAAACTCTCTGGATGCCAGGAGTAAAAGCCCTTGGCTGAGCTGGAGGCTCATCAAAGGACAGAAGGTGTTAGGAGGTGTGCAGAGTGTCTGGGGCAGTATCCAGCCCTGGGGATACCACTTACTGTCCAGCTTTGCCACATGGTGTGGACCTGATGTCCTACATATGAAGCAGGAACATGGCTCAGGAGGGCAGAGCCTAACTTAGGCCTAGGCTCTGACTGGGGAGGGAAGAGGGAGGAGGAGAGAGGAGGGAGAAGGCTGGGACTTTGGAAGCAGCTCCATGAACAGGGGCTAGAACCAGCTTTGAGCACTGGCAGGAGGGCTTTGTGCACCTAGATGATGCGGGTGACGTGACAGTCGTTGGTCTCGTCCAGAAACAAGGTGCTGAAGACATCATTGAAGAATGTGGGGTGGTATCTGCAGGCTCGCTCACAGTCAGGGTTAAAGTTCACCTCCAGGATCTGGGGCTGCATCACTTGCTTTCCTGGTGGCAAAACCGAGAGGCAGAGGACTGTTATGGCAGCAAGGTTGGGATACACATCTGTCTTGGGAAAACTGTGGGACAGGAACTGTGATTATAGTGTGGATTTCCTGGTTTGACATCTGTTCCCCAAGGAAAGACGTGAGCTGCCCGAACCTCATTACTCTTAGGGCAGTGAGGACACATTGCTTCAAGCTTCAATGACCAGTCTGGTTAGAGGGAGCAGCATGCAGGGTTGGGAGGGTGATTCCAACTCTCCTGTCCTTTGAGTTCTCGGGGCCCCAGTCTGTCACCTTCCCCCTGGGCTCTGATGCAGGTGTGCCCTTTCTCAGTGGACCAGGCCAGGATACCCAAGCTGGACCACCTGAGAAATTGTTCTGTGAAAAAGAGAGCCATGGGGTTGAAAAGATGGCTCAGCAGTTAAGAGCATTTGATGTTATTGCAGAAGACCTAGATTCAGTTTCTAGAATCCAAAGGTGGCTCACAATCATTCTTAACTCAAGTTCCAGGGGCCCTGTGTCCTCTGACCCCAGGGATACAAGGTATGCACACAGTGCATACACGCACACATGCATGCAAAATTCTCAAACACACAAAACCAAAACGCAAGCCAGGGCTGTCCTGGGTACTGCTGGAAGGGTTGGGCATAGGTGCAGTGGGGAGGGTTTTGGTGTGGAGAGCCCCCTTACCATCTGGATGGCTATCCCACTTGAGCATGAGGTCAACAGCATATACAGCCCGAGATGAGGGGTAGTCGCAGAGGCCCATGGGCGGTGGCTTGGCACATGCCACTTGGAACAGCTCTATGAAGGCCTTGAAGATCTCAGTCTGGGAACATAGAATGCTCCATCACAGGATGTACTCAACCCTGACTTTGGGACTAACAAAGCCCACTGTCCTTGCCTGATCCCTATCATCCAGGTCATCCCAGGCCCAGGTCATCCTGCCTGTCCCCAAACTCCTGGAGTTTCATGCACTCTAGACAAACACTTATCACCAAGCCATGCCCCAGTGCAGAACTCTAGCTATCTTTAGCACATTTGCTGATTTCCTATTCTATGACTAGCCCTCACCACTCCCTGTGGCCCCAAGGGCTTGGATTTCTGAGGCTGGTGGAGACTATTGCATTTGGGCTACCTCAGGATGCCCCAAATTCCCATCCTCCTGTTGAGGAACGTTCTGAAGGGCCTCCAGAAGCACTGCACACAGGCCCAGAGTCACAGGCCTGGGTGGTCTTAGCCAGCCATCTCTATCTGTCTCAGTGAGAAAATGACTCCTCTACCTGTAAGGGAAGGGAGTGGCTTCCACAGCCCCAGCATGGCAGAGACCAAGACTCACCTGGACACCACTCCAAGGAAACTCTGGGTACTGCTTCTCGAACTGGGGGATGAACTTATCATAGTGCACCTGCAACAGATAAGAGCCAATTATGGAGCTGAAGCTCTCTCTAGGCTGAAGCAGGATAGCGGTTTCACAGAACAGGGTCCAGTCCAGCTCTGCCCACAGGATACACACGAGGACAGGAGACCAAGGTTAAGCTCCAGGCAGGCAGAATAACCACTCTGGGCCTCAGTTTCTTCTCTGAAAAGATGATACTCCCTGCCTAGGCCACTGACTTTGCAGGGCTGCTGCAAGGCTCCAGTGAGGAACAGAGGGTCAAGGGCTCAGGAGGCTGTCACGCATGGCTGTCATAGCCAGCTCAGCTCAGCCCACTGGCAGCAGAGATGACCAATCCCACTCTGCAGGTGCCCCCCCCCCCCCCTTGAAGCACCCCAGGACAAGATCTCTAGACCAAGATTTCACCCCAAACATCTGAATAAAGTGGCTCA